TTCTTTCATGGCTCACTGGTTTTTAGCCTGAGAAATCTTTGCATGTCCCAAGGTTGCAAGGCTTTTCTCTCATATTTTTTTCTTAAAGTTTATAATTTTACCTTTTCTATTTAGGTCTCTGATCCATTTCAAAATAGTGTGAAGTATGGGATAGGGTTCATTTTTTATGTATGGCTATTCAATTGTCCTAGCACCATTTGTTGAAAAGACTATCCTTTTGCTATTGAATTAACTTATCCTCTTTGTTAAAAATCAATTGCTCATATGTGTATGGGTCATCTCTGGACTCTATTCTGTTCCACTGATCTATTATATCTATACTTATGCCAGTATTCAACTGTTTTGATTATGCAGCATTAGAGTAAATCTTACAATCAAGCAGTAAAAGTCCTCCAACTTTGCCCTTTTTTGCAAAATTGCCATGGCTAGTATAGGCCCTTTGCATTTCCATTTTGCATTTCCAAATCAACCTGCTAGTTCTTGGGGGGAAAAAAAAAGCCTGTTGAGATTTCAAAGGGAACTGAGTTGAATCTATAGATCAATTTGCAGAAGTAACATCTTAATAATAGTATTCTATGCCATAAACATGGCATATGGTTTCGTTTGTTTAGAACTTATTTAGTTTTTTAGCCATCTTTTATAGTTTTCAGGGTATAGGTCTTACTTATATCTTTAAAAATTTATTCCTGGAGCGCTTGGCACCCGCCCCACGGTGGCCTCCCTGGCCCTGCTGCTGCTGCTGCTCCTCCTCCTTGGGGGCACCCAGCGCCCCCCAGGGCCCGCAGACACTCTGACAGGACGTTCACCAGTGAGCTCAGCAGCCTCTGGGAGGCTGCAGCAGCTGCTCCAGGGCCTGGTGGGGGAGCGCAGCCAGCAGGGCAGAGAGAACAGCACAGCCTGGTCCACGTCTGCGGAGGGCTGGCTCTGCCTGCTGTGGTCCGACTTTCCCGCCATGGAGGCCTGGATGCCCCTGAGGGCCCCCCTGCATCAGACCTGGTCTCCCTGGCTGCCCACTGAGCCCAGGTCTGGGATTACGGTTTTGGAACCAGCCAGGTTCCAAAATATCCGTTAGGATATTCTACATACAAGATTATGCTATGAATAAATTCAGTTTTACTTCATCCTATAAGAGATTTTAAATCTTGGGAATATAGATAGAGCCACCAGTGAGGGATTGGTGACTTGTCCAGGTGGCATTGCTTATGGCTTTCTCCACAGCTCTAGAGTGCCAGAGACTGGGTCAGCATTTGAGTCTTCCAGCTGCTAACGTGCACCAGAGGTCAGATGCTTTCCCTTCATGGAGGAACTCAATCTCAAACAGGCCTCAATACTGGAAGAAAGCGTACACTCAGTAGAGGGGGAAGGGACCTGCAGAGCCCACTTGTTCTCACTGATGTCCTTTTCATATGGATCTGAGCCAAGAATCAGCCGACCACTTAGTTGTCAAGGTATTCTTCACTCAAACAGATATTCTCAGTTGTGGACTTGCCTTCAATAATTCTATCTTGAATAGTGAGGATGGACACATAAAAATGCCACCCAGGTCAAAGATGAGAATATTACTTTTGGCATCAACTTTCTTGTTCAAGTCAACAGCAGTGACAGTTGGCTGATGATTCTGAACACAGCAAGACCAGCAACGGTTCTAGCACCTCCGATGGCCTGCAGCTGGGAATCATTCAAGTACCTGGTAGTGTGAGGATCATGGGGGTCAGCGTTCACATAGAAGCCTCTAAAATTCTCTCCATCTTTCTCCAATCCACTGTGGTAGGCAGACTTCTATGATGCCACCCAAAGGTTCCCCACCTCCTGGTGTTCCCTCTTGTGTGACCCCATCCCCTGGAGAATGGGCTGGGCCTAGTGACTTGCTTTTAACAGAGCACAGCACAAGTGATGGGATGCCATTGCTGTCATTAGGTTAGAAAAGACTGTGACTTCTGTCTTGCTAACACTCTCTCTCTGACAGTGTCTCCTGCTCTCTCACCTGCTCACTCTGCTGGAGCAAGCTGCCATGTTGTCAGACGCTCTGTGGAGACACTCTGTGGCAAGGAACTGAGGAAGGCCGCTGGCCAAGAGCTCATGAGGAACTGAGGCCTCAGTCCGACAGCCTGAGAGGAACTGAATCCAGCCAATAACCACGAGTGAACTAGGCAGTGAATCCTTGAGATGACTGCAGCCTTGTGAGAAACCCAGAGCCAGAGGACTCAGCAAAACTGTACCCAGATTCCTGGCCCACAAAAACTATGAGATAATAAGTGTTGCTTTAAGCTGCTAAGTTTTGGGGTAATTTGTAACACAGCAATAGCTAATTAATACAACCACAGGAGATATCTCATCTGCATACAGCTTTTAGTATCCCTTCTTTTACATCCTCTGGATTTTCAGCCTGTGTGCACAGTCTACAACCATGGAAGTTGAACATTTTTGACAATCTGGTATGTCCGACCAGACAACTGGATTGTCAAATCTAATGTGCCTAATTAGACATCTGGTATCTAAAACTGTGTTGATGGAGTCCACTGAATTTGTTTCTTAAAGCATCACTCACTAAGTAATCTTTCATTGTCAGCTAAAAGCAACATAGCTTGCGATGGTTACCTTTCTCTGACCACTAGCAACAATCTCTACTTTCCTGTGCTGGAAGACATCCACACAGGAATAGGTGATACCAAGATCAGTGACAACTGCAGATAATTTCAATGTGGTTTTGCAAGGGGCAGTGTCTGGCTTGGAGAAAAAAAATGTAGATACCAGAGCTGCCATAGCATTCAATGAGCCACGGTGGGTTTCTGAAATTATAAGTTATTTATTTTTTATGGGAATACAAGGCAAATGTGGCAAGTGGTAGGATAAAGATTGAAAAGGGATAGGTTAGGAAGGACCTCGTGTATCAAGCAAAAACACTTGAACATAACACTTGAGACAATGAGGGAAATGGGTGGTATAAAAATTAGTTGGAGGGAATAAGAAAAGATAATCAACAGACACCAACATCAAGAGGAATCTGATGTTAGAATTATCTGACAAGGATGTTAAGGCAACCATCATAAAAATGCTTCAACAAGCAATTATGAACACACTTGAAACATGAAAAAATAGGAAGTCTAGCAAAGTAATAGAAGATATAAAGAAGAAAACATACACATTTTAGAACTGAAAAATAAATGAAATAAAAAACTTGATGATGGGCAGCAGAATGAAGGAGACAGAGGAAAGAATCAGTGAACTTGAAGACAGAACATAGAAATTACCCAATGTGAGTAACAGAGAGAAAATATGCTAGAAAAAGGTGAACAGAGGTTCAAAAATTTGTGAAATTATAATAAAAGATCTAACATTCACATCACAGAATGAAAGCAGATTTCCTATTAGAAATGATGGAGGCCAGAAAGAAGTGGCACAGCATTTATCAGGTGCTAAAAGAAAAAAAACCATCAACCCAGAATCCTATATGTAGTAAGTAAAATCCTCCAGGAATGAAGGGGGAAATGAAGACATTCTCAGATGAAGAAAAACTAGAGAATTTGTCTCACCAGACTTACCTTAAAAGAGTGGTGAAAGAAAGTTCTTGAAACAGAAAGGGAACAATAAAAGAAGAAATCTGAGAACATTAGAAGGAAAAAAGAACACGAGAAAGAATAAAAATGTGGGTAGATACAACGGATTTTCCCTCTCCTCTTGAGTTTTCTAAATTATGTTTGACGGTTGAAGCAAAAATTATAACAACTATCTGATGAAGTTCTCTATGACTGCAGAAGAAGACACTTAACACAATTATATTATAAATTGGGGGGAGGGTAAAGAGATGTGAAAGGAAATAAAGATTCTATACTTCATTTAATCTGTATAATGTTGAAACCAGTAGACTGTAACAAGTTATGTATAATGCAATACCCAGAGCAACCAATAAATATCTGTGCAAAGATATATACTCAAAAACAATATAGACACGTAAAAATGAAATTCGAAAAAAATGTTTAAGTAATTGGCAAGAAGGCAGGAATTTGATATACACAACTTGGATGCAGCTCAAGGGCATTACACTCAGTGAAAAAAGCCAATTTAAAAGTCACATACTATTCAGTATGAATACAGTAAAAAAAAAAAAAAAGTCACGTACTATATGATTCTATTTATATATAACATTCTCGAAATGACAAGATTATAGAGGTGGAGAATAGATTACTCACTGCCCGGCGTTAGGGATGGTGGGGGAGGAGGAGAGGTGTGTGACTATAAAGGGGTAGCGTGAGGGAGATCTTTGTGGTGACAAATAGTTCCGTGCCCTTGGTTGTGTGGTTACATGAATCCACGTGTGATAAAATGTCACAGAACTATGTACACGCATTGTACTAATGTTAATTTTCTGTTGCCTATGCTCTTTCCCCATGTGGTCCACCTCCATCATCAACTTGATACAGTCGTCTCTCTTCTCAACTTTGTGTCTGCATTTCTATATGCCTGAGTTGGCAGCGCTAATTGAATGTCCTGCTGCTACTCTAATCTCAGCATATCTTAGATTTAGCTTCTCACCTGCCCACTCTGACCTCTGTCTGTTCTACCTGTCACTCCCAGACAAACATCACTCATCATTTATTCTTCCCTCTCCCTGGCCTCCCATTACCAGTCACTTGATTTGTCTTACAGGATTCTTTCTTAAATTAATTTCTATTCTGTTATCATTATAGTTCAGGACCCCATAAACTCTTGCTTGAAACTTCACAAGAACCTCCTAATAGACCACTAAGCCTTCAGACTCTCACCAATCTCATCTAGCCTATAGAGCTAATATCAGAAGATCCTTTGACACAAAAGTTGAAAACTTGACTGTATAGAGGACAAAAGGAAGGGGAAATATAAAGAGATCTGAATAGACGTCAAACCAGAGATTTCTCTGAAAACAGATTAAACACATTCACTTAACTTAAAATTTATCTTCACATAAGTCATGTAAATTATAGGCAATAACATGTCTTTCCCTCTCAGTACAAAATACATACCTTAACTCGTCGGGTAATGCTAAGGAACTGGCAAGTTTTATCATAAAGTTCTTCCAGGTTTTCTCTGTCCCAGTAGAAATCAGGAGTAATCAAGAAGTCGGAACTCAAGTTTATACGGTGCCTTAATAAACAGAAAATTATAACTTTTTATTTATCTTGAATTAAAAGTCACTGTTTCTATTACACTTCACATTTTCAAGGTGTTTTATGAAAACATTTTTTAATGCTGACCTTTGCAAAATACTTCTCGGAAACATAGAAAGTTTACAAAAAAATTTCAAAATTCTCAACCAAATTAACTCAATCTTTACTATCAACATTATTTATGAAGTAAAGAGAAAAAAACCCTCTCATTTTGTTTCTAATTTCTAAGCTTATTTGATTTTTCATTAAAAAAATTTACAATATACACACAGATATGTTTTTTGGAGATAGGTAATCACATGGCTTAAAAATAAAAAAGGTAGGCTGGGAGCAGTGGCTCACACCGGTAATCCTAGCGCTTTGGGAGGCTGAGGTGGGAGGATCACTTGAGGCCAGGAGTTTGAGGCTGCAGTGAGCTACGATCAGACCACTGCACTCTAGCCTAGGAAACAGAGCAGGACC